TTAAAAATAAAACAAATAATTTGAATAATTATATTCAGACTTTTGGAATATTATAAATAGTCATCAATTAATTTCAAAACCAAGATTATCATTTGATTTAATTTCTTCAACGGCGCATGTTTTCTTGTCTTCCTGTTTGTTTATATGATACATCCACCTGTAAATGTAAATTTGATATTATGTAAGTATAATTTTTTTATGTTTACAAATATACAAAATGTTAGGTTATGACTTATGAGAAACTTAATAGATTGCTGTATTTGACTGTTTTAAGTTTACCACACCACACCAAATATATATAACCTCGAATATATAATATTTTATGATATGGCTATATTTGATTTAACTATTATAATTTATAGCTATAATAATTATTGAATGGAACATTATATTATAAATATCCCAGACATTTTACTATTTATAAATCAAAGTAATTTTTTTTTTATTTAAATAAAAAATATTTTTACAGATTTTAATTATATTTATTGATTTATTAAATAAGTTAGAAGAAAAGTTTATATGGGGAACTCCTATTGAGAATGAATAAATGAGAAAGCGTGAATGATTAATGGTGCTTAGCTTTGAATAAAAGGTTGATGAAAATTAAATTGAATCAAAAATCCTAAAGTGATAAATTACATATAAATCTTAATTAATTATTAATATTAAATTTAAAGTGAATCACCATTATAGTTATTTATGAGCAGATTTTGGTGTTTTTTCACTCTATAGGAAGAAATTGACAAATTAACCGATTGTAAAAGTGTCATTTTGAAGGAATAATTTAGAGACAGCAGATAAAATGTTTGTAATTTTGTGTCTCTTGTGTATTGGTGTGCAGTTTTAAAATATTTCCATTTTATTTAAGTTTGATTTTTTAGTCAATTTTATTTTAAGARTGTCTTATTTAGCAGTTAAGTTTTAGGCTATTCTTAATTTTTCATATCCCTATCAATTTAATGTATTTTGCTGTGTTCGGCTGTATATCGTCAAATTGAGAAGATTGAGAGTTATTTTTTTGACATAAATTGTTTTATGAGAATTCAAGTAATTCATAACCTGATTGGTGAGATTGGAGCCGAGAGCACTGATATCTTGGTTTAGCATCACGTTTTTTTTATTATTGAGACGTTGAATTTGATCAGTTGCCAAAGGAAAATATTATAACAAGAGTTATAAACTTTTCTGGACATAAGTCCAACTAATAACAGTCGTTGATTAAAATTGAATAATATTTTCTCTTTTATGGATTTTCTAATTCGTAATTATTTTGTTTGTCATTTAATGCCGAGGAACTAAGTTTTTTTTTTGGTATTTATATTCCTGATTACAGAATGTCTGAATGTGAATTTATATTCTATATGGTAAATTTATTATTATTGATTCATAATAGATAATATATTCACCAAATTAATTAAAATTTAAATAAATATTTTATTTAGCAAAATTACCAAAAACAACATTATAATTTACAGATTTAATTTATTTAACAAACAAGTTTATATTATTGTTATTAATATCAATAAAATATATCTGTTAAAAATAACATTAATTTGTAAATAGTATTTTTTTTTTTTTTTTTTTATTTTTTATAATATTCACCCAAATGTATTGTACAGACGTGTTTTAGGTGTTAATAAGTGTGAAATTAAAGATAAAATGTAAAAACTAGGATTAGATTAATACAAATGAC